CTGTCGATTACATCACACAGCGCAACCTGGATGCAATTGACATGGCAGCCACCAGAGTATTCACATCCGCATGAGAAGATTAGCTACAGGTGAGTGAAAACGAATGAGTGAATGTAGCAAAACAAAAAAAAAAGAATTATTTGAAAACAGAAAGTGAAAATTCAATGGATTTGTAGTGATTTTGTGTTAAAATTTTTCTGATGGAAACCGTATGGCAAGATGAATGCATGAGTTATTAGAAAGGTGCATTAGGTAATTACTAAAAAAAAGACTATATGAGATGGGAAATGTTTTCCAAAAATTAAAGAATATGTTTAATTTATGTGGAGTAGGCTGTTTGCAATGTTGATGTCAGAAATCACATACAATACAACGGTTCCGCTAGACTTCACTTGCTCACAATTTGATTATTTTTACGATAAATTTTTCGAGATTACCCAAAAAAGAGGTCCCATTTTCCAAAATGTTATCATAAACGTATTTATTGGTAAAGAGTTGTGGCGAGCATCAATTTTGAATAAATTAGCTTTAATATTTACTGATTTATCGAAGATTTTGTATTTTTCTAAATTACCGTTATATGGGATGTGGGCGTGGTTATTGTCCGATTTGAAACATTTTCGTCCATTTGGTATGTTGTACTAAGGCCAATAACTGTGCCAAGTTTGAAAGAAATTGGTGCAGTGGTTACCAAGTGGGTNTTCCAAAATGTTATCATAAACGTATTTATTGGTAAAGAGTTGTGGCGAGCATCAATTTTGAATAAATTAGCTTTAATATTTACTGATTTATCGAAGATTTTGTATTTTTCTAAATTACCGTTATATGGGATGTGGGCGTGGTTATTGTCCGATTTGAAACATTTTCGTCCATTTGGTATGTTGTACTAAGGCCAATAACTGTGCCAAGTTTGAAAGAAATTGGTGCAGTGGTTACCAAGTGGGTGTGGCTACGCCCATTTTTCAAAAATATATAATATTCTTATTTTTCGTCTAAACATTGTTGTAAATATCAATTTTTAGTGAATAATCTTCAGTAGTTACCAAAATATCGCAGTTTTCGTGTTTCTGAAAATTACCGTTATATGGGAGGTGGGCGTGGTTATTGTCCAATTTTGCCCATTTACAATACCATCTTCGCGCGAAAGAAATGCACGTACCAAGTTTCGTTAAGAANGGTGGGCGTGGTTATTGTCCAATTTTGCCCATTTACAATACCATCTTCGCCCGAAAGAAATGCACGTACCAAGTTTCGTTAAGAAATCTAAATTTTTACTCGAGTTATCTTGTGTACAGACGGACGGACGGACAGACAGTCACCGCTTGTGCACAAGTGCGCTCGGGTATAAAAAGCTCAGGTAGGAAAGGCGAGCTTGGAGAGAACCACACTGTCTGCGCTAGAAAAGGTCACGCAAAGTGTTTGCTTGGTTAATTTGTAAAGATTCAAATTTATAATCAATCTTTCAAAGGAGAAGCCAAAAATCTCCATAGACATTCTTATGGAAACATTATTTGGTCAAACGTTATCCACTGCTTCGAATCGGTCAAAGATGTAGCACTACATAAAGCTCTTCTGAACTTTTTAGGGGTCTTAAATTTAAGTGATCTTTTGTGTGGAGCAGGAGATACAAGAAATGCTAATGTCGCTGTGTTGCAGTCGGTTCGAAAAACCAACTCACTTAGATCTTGCAGGACTATTGTGCGATTACTGAATAACCCAAGAACCTCGGTGACTATTTTTCATAGAAGAATTTTGAAGCCCTTTTAAAGAGTAGGACTGGTTTTATTCCTACACCGGTTAATTCCGTAAGAGAGCTAAACTCCTAGTCTCGAAGAGTACCTACCAAATAGCCAATGTCCGGTTACACAAGCCGTAATCATCGCAATATCCTCTCTTGTAAGGCCGAGCAGCTCTTTTGTACTTTTCTTATCTATTTGTGGCCATAAATAGTAGCTGATTGTTCTTGAGTTGTATTATTTCTAGTCACTAACTTGCAGATTGCCATTGGTATCGCAATTTTACCTCTGCTTTCACATAGAGGGAGATTGGTACCATTTTTGGCTAGCCTCGGTCGTCGGCCTAGCAATTTCCTTCAATATCTCTATGTCCCAAGACCTTGAACATGGCGTCAATGTCGTTTAGAGGTGCAGGGCTTGCCTGTTCAACCTTTAACCTTAGCATAACCGTGTACATTTATTTGATGGCCTCCTGGCTATCCGAGGAAATGTTAATCGTAGTCTTCGTTACGGCATTTGTACTAAGCTACATAGCCACCTCTTTTATAGCAAATACTACTGCCTGACAACTGCTGCAGTTGTCCGGAATTCGGGCAGGTAATTCCCGTCCTAATTTCTTAGAGAAAACACCGTAGCCAACCGTATTGCCTAGCTTGCAGCCATCCGTATACAAATCATTTCCTCCTTCTCCATGGTATTAGTGTTTTCCATTCTCTTGTTGACGGGATGCTCGTCTTAAAGAACCTATCTCTTGGTTATGACTACCCAGAGTGTGAAGTATAGAAGCGTGAATAAACCGCCGAACCTTTTATAGTACCATGCTCTTTAGTCTGAGCGCCGAAGCGGCAGCCACGTGTTTTCCTGCCAGACTTATTTCAGGAAAATTGTTTAACACTTCTAGCGCTTTGGTTGGGGTGGCAGCCCCCGCTCTCTATAGAGCCAAAAACAAGGAGTGCTGCTCTACAGCAATATTTATCTACATACATATCTAGTGAACCTTCTAATGGGTTTTCTGCAAGACTTTTTCAATTGTAGAATATTTTGTAAAGATCTCTGAATCCGAATGATTTTGTGTGAAGAGATGACTTTAATTCTAAAAACTACTCGTATGATGTTTCCTTTAAAAGTTCTTTTGGATGGACAGATAAAGTTACTGAAAACGCAAATATATGGTAGATTTCAGACCATGTGTGGTAGAAGCGCACAAAAGTGGTAGTTCTACCACACTGTTGTCGAAGCCCGGCACTGTTGGAGATGTCAAAAAGACGCCCAGTAACCCCCATGACGTCGGGCTAAATAAGGGATCACTATATCCTTTTGTACATCTGCAGTCTGCAATTGCTAATCTTGATTGTCAAGGACCCGCTGCTAAGATCTTTCTCATTTATTAGTTCATGGCATCGCTTAACTATTTAAATAGAAATATTGATACATACATGTAGATTGACATTGCTTTAATCAAGACACTAAGTTTATAAGATAACCGCCTAATCTATCTACTAACTGTAATTTTACTTCTCCAATCCTTCTTTTCTCATCAGAGTCTACACAAACCAATGAAATCGGAGAAATTTGTTAAAATCGAAACCAAAGTAGCATGGCTGCGCATGAGCAACCTGAAACCCAGTTCCCAGCATATCCTCTACGTCGAAGCTGTAGGTGAGCACGCTATATCGCTGCCTTCCGAGACGCTCGTGGCATGGACCGATCCCGCACTACCAGCTTTTGTTGATGTGAGTGACGATTTAAAGTTTATAAAGCTCATTTTAATCCAACTAATAATCTCGCCTTTTCACAGCCACCCACTGTACACCCAGCTGACAATATACCCGAAGGCGGTTCGATGACTATACTCTGTCTGGCTCTGGGAATCCAGCGCCCACAATTTCACTCTACGTCGGCGGACATTTGGTGCGACAGGACACTTCAAGGCATATGGTCACAGTGATACACAACGTCAGCGCCGATATGGAGCATATTTCCTGCTATGCAGACAATGGTTATGGTGTGCCAATGCAGGCCGCTAGGCGCGTGAATATTTGCTGTTAGTAATCAAGAGAAAGCGCTCAGTGTTACTGATTTTGTTTATATAATTTAAATACACTCTTATATAATTCAACTAAATATTTCTTATCTCACTTTTTACCAGATGCACCAAAAATTACCGCCGCTGGCATCACCGTCGCTTCTTTGGGCGATGAGGTCGAGCTGCGTTGCACAGTCGATGCGAAACCTACACCAAAGACAATCTTTCTGGCGTGATCATGATGGCCGCGTACCCGTTATACAGGGTGGTCACTTTGATATCTCCACCAAAATGAACGAATCCCATCCCAATTTGTACACCATGTCACTGCGTATCAACAAAATGCAGGCGAACGATGTTGGCGATACTTTTGCCATGCTGAGAATGCTTTCGGTTCCTCGACGACGCCTGTTTCGGTGCGCATACGCACTACGCCGGCATTTGGACGCAATGTTCTGAGTGTTGTCGCCAAATGAATGTCTCGCTGGCCTGCCGTGCCGCTTGCAGTTATTATGTGGACATAGAAGCGATCGCCGATAAACCGGAATGTATTGTGGACTTTGATAAGTTGATGAAATGTGCGGCAGATGGTTCGGATCATCGTAGCTGCTGCGCGGATGCAAATGTGCCGCGGAAGTGTTTGAACTGGTGTCGTGGCGATGCGGTGCGATCGAAGGAGGTTTGTAGCTTGCAATATGCGCGTACGATCGTCGGCTGTTTTGAAACGAATAGAGAAAAGTGCCAGGACCGCCAGAGAATATTGCAGTTAGTGTGGTGTCCATAGTGAAGTGATGATTAGGTGAGTATGTGTGTTGTTCGGGTGAAAAAAGTGAATCAAATGGAAAATATGGGTAGAAATGTTCAAACGCAACGTGCAGACTAACTCAGAGTACCAGCTATGGCTAGCTATGAGCTGAGAATGATGAAAAGCACTTCTTATGGCATAACAGCTGGGAGTGCTGTTTTAATTGTACTCGATGATCGAAACGTAGTAGTTAGTCATAAAGAATGTCAACTTTCATTCCAGCCGATATAATAAACAGAAGGACATTTCAAAAAATCACTCTCAGCTCCAAGCTGACACTGAAAACGCACCCATATGCGGGTTTATCGGTGGGTCGAAGCTCTTGTCTGCGATTGGTGAGAGATTATACCGAGACGGCAATCTGCGAGGCGAGTTTGTAAAATGGTTATTGTTTCTCGTGTGTTCATTGAGATCATTCCGATGGGAGTTTAGGAGGGGCTCTGCTTTCAAAGTCTCTTTCGGAGCTACATCTATGGCATCCTGTTGCTCTTGAGTGCGGTGTTTTGGACAAGTATAAAGCTTGGTGTACTGCGCTCTACTCATCCTCCGTGATTAAAAAGGCGAAGCGTAATTTAAAACCTAATTAACGTTTATTTGTCCTTGCACCGTGCTCTTCCGGCGAGCATTTGATGACCTTGTTGCTGCTCTATACCTTACTGACCATAGCGATTGTGCGCGGTTTCAATTTAATTTAACTTTATTTCTGTCTATTATGAGAAATCGTACAGATTAAATTACACAGGTTATTAACCTACGGTATTGATGGGCCGTTTACTTAAATGCCAATCACGACTTTACCTGCTTCGTCCAGGTGGTGAAAAAGGTTTGCGAAGGACACCACACTGCGGGGCCCTTGCTTAGTTCTTCTTGGCTAATGGTCATCATTTGTCACTAGTTTTTCTTCTGTTCGGCTCTTATTCAGCGAAATTTACCTACTCGGATGGGTACGGTCGATCCCTATTTTGTTTTACAAATTTCATCTTTCCGACCTTCCCGGTTAGATTTGCAATAATTTTGGATGCATATTTTCCACTATGTTAATGATCGAATGGTAATATTTTCTGGATGTCTTGTTAGTTCCGCTTGCGATAGAAGTTTCCGCCCTACATTTTTGAGGCTATTTTCTACCGGCCACTAAATCCACGGTTATGCTAAACTGTGTTTTGTTATTGTTTTTTTTTTTAATATGGTTCATTCTTTAACAAAAACCATATATGTAAATCAAACTGTATACAGAACTTAGAAAGATGTTTACCAAAACTTCGAGCTTTTTAAGTTGAACTTTTAGAAAAATTTTGGGTATGCAGATTTATAGCCGCGGGTCTTTTCATGCAACACGTGCAATTTACAAAAACTGGCGTTGGTCTTTTTAACTTTTCTTTTTAAACGGTCTTAAATCTTAAAGCCGTCAGCAGAAAAAAAAATTGTTAAAGATCGCTTGAAACTTGCACGAAAAGTTCAAAATTTTTATAAAACCTTATTAAATTTATCGAAGCTCGTTATAAAGTTTGATTTATACGGTTTTGGTTAAAGCACTAACCATGTTTTTTTAAAAAATAACAAAAAAATTTCAACTTTAAAAACCTTGCAAATATTTAACAAAGATTACTATGTACTCAGTTTGGCTTCCCACTGTAGGTATCGATAAATTTACCGATAGTCTCGTGGCAATTTGTCTCGATATATTTATTGACATAGTATTTTTCGGTTTAAATATCTATATGGCTGTGGATAGGGCTACCGATAAAGATTGATATGAACTGTAATACCACTGTTAACGATTTATATCGATTTTTTTAATACAATTGTATGCATGTCCTAAATTTGTATATCTATCGATAAAGTTCTCTATAAACTCATAGAAATGTTTGTTGTCATCCTTATCGAAATATTTTTCGGTTAGAGCAGCGATATGGTTATGGATACGTTTATCGATAAATATCGATCACATTTTTATTTATAAAAAATTTGTTATCGCTAAAATTTTAAGTATAATTATGCAATTTTAAATAGTGAAATTTTATCCGTTAAAACACTTATGGAAAAGTGCTTACCTTTTAAAAATTCTTCTTATCGAATACATTTTTTAACTGATCTTTACTCAGATGGGATCCACCACAAAAGAACCCCAACGTCGTTGAAGGCTATCGAATATTTTATCATGAGGCAGCCATTCTCGCACCCGACTCCAGCGAGTCCAGCGGTGATGGCCTTGGCTACAATGTTACGAGCATACAAAATACAACCGAAATAAGACGTCTCGATGTAAAGGATACCACAGTAAATATTGAGGGACTGAAAAGGGATGTACTCTATGAACTGGTAGTGAAAGCTGGCAATTCTTTTGGTGAGTCGCCCATAGACTATGCTTACTAAAAATATATATTTAAAGGAAAATTTAAAGTCTTACACAGCTAGCAAAACCTTAACAAATAATTGCAAATGATGTTATTAAATTCATTTTTAACTCTTTATCATCATATCTACCCTGCTTCTTCCTTCAGGTGCCAGCGTTCTTACCGAACCAGTTAAATTTACTTTGGGCGATCATCATGTCACCTCGGCGACAACATATTCGAATGCTGTTGGCACAATCAGCGGCATTGTGGCGAGCATTTTGGCTGTTCTCTTAGCTGCTGCAGCCATTATATTCTATCGTCGTCATCGTGCACATAACGGTAAGGCCGGTAATGGTGTGGCTTTTGAGAATCCAACGTATACGCGTGGTCTGGAGCAAGTGCAGGTAAGTGTTATGGCGGTGTTTGGTGATAAATACTTATTTGTTGTAGTGGGACTTAAGGAAGACTTACATATACATATGTGTATGTATGTGTGAAAGCTTATGTATGAAAGTGGGATAAAATTTCAAGATTTGGCTTTTATTGGCAAAGAAGAAGTGGCATACATGTTGGCAAATATTAAAAAATATATATATATATGTATATACATATAGTTAAGATTAATATGCTGCCTTATTCAAAATAACTTATGTTGCTTTATTCAATTATTTTTTTAATTGTCAATTAAAAGTCAGTCGACTCTCTCACAAATACCATATAAACCCAAGCGCAAAACTTTGTATAAAACTGAAAAAATTCATCCAAATTTAAAACCTTTTTCTCGGTAGCACTAAAATTTTTTAAGAGTGTACAGTTTTATAGTCCCTTAAATTTTAGTACAATAATATGCAAATTTCAAGTAGATGAAACTTTCATAATAAAATTTACAGGACTTTAAAACTTTAAAACACTTGAAAAATGTTTACGACCACTGAGAAAAAAGTTTTAAATTTTGATGAATTTTTTTCAGTGTTCTACAAAGTTTTAAGGCTGGGTTTATATGGTATTTGTGAGGGAACTAACTGTAGTTTAATTGAAAAATAGAAATAATAAATGTGCATAAGTAGCAAAAATCTAAATACAAATCCTAAAAGTTATTTTAAAGTTTCCCAAAAGGTGGGAGCAAACACTCGAGTATCAATATTTTGTATAACTTTTTTGCAAAAATTTGTATTGTCACCGTGTCTTAGTTTATATATAATAAATCCAAGTATATATGTATGTAGGTACTACATTTATGAACAATTGTTAGTTAGTTAGTTAATTTACTGGGTGTAATGTATCTCTATAAAGGAGTCCCTAACCCAATGTGGCCAAGATACCTTCGGCTTCCATTATGAATCCTAAAAGGGCCTTGGTAGACGAATTCCTTATAACAAAGGGTTCGACCAACGAAGATTTAATGTAAATCAGTCTTTGTCTGGCTAAAGCCGGACAGTTACAGAGAATATGCTCCGAAGTTTAATCGGCCTCGAGGCAGAGCCGGCATTCCGGCTCTGTGATCGCCCCTATTCGGTGTAAGTGGAACCGCAATTGGTTGTGACCAGCCAGATACCCAGAAAGTAACCTGATGTCAATTCTGTTTTTTAGGACGATGTCGTTCCTGTTAAAGGGGTAGCCGGATAGCCTGGCCTGTCTAAGGCCCCCCATCGCTCCCCAGTACTTACTGCGTTCTGAGTGTACCCACTCAGTGATTATGGCTCTCGAAGAGGACCAACTGAGACCACAGAATAGTTCAGGTCCCGAAAAGGCAGTAAGCGATCCTTCACGTGCCAACTCATCAGCGATCTCGTTACCTTCGATTTCAGAATGGCCTGGTACCCAGCACAATGTTACCGTGTTTTTGGCTGCCAAAATTGTAGCGTGTTAAAGCAGTCTCTAACCAACTTAGATTTCATGTTCTGTTTGAAATGGCCCGGATGGCTGCTTGGCTATCTGGAAAGATAACTAAAAAAGCGCCCTTTAAACCCTTTTCAAGGTTTAATTTTGCGCAGTTTGAGATTGCGACTATTTCAGCCTGAAACACCGTGGGCCATTTGCCCATGGGAATTGTAAGTTTTGTGCTAGGTCCAAAGATGCCTGCACCCGGACTGTCCGCCATCCTTGATCCATCTGTGTACCAGTGTTCATATCTGAGATCAAGGGCAGGGAGCCCATTTTCCCAATCTTCGCAATCGGGGATTATCACTTGGAATTTTCTGCCAAAGCAGACCTCCTTAGTCATGGAATCAGAGATTCCGCATATATCCAACCCTGGTATCTTCCCAAGAATACCTGCATGAGGCTTCTTTACGAAGAAGCCGTCGTTAGATAATCGAAGTTGCAGCTCCCTCGTGGCTGCTGATTCCTGAATAAAAATATGGAGAGGAGTCCATCCCAGGAGCGACTCTGGAGCCGCAGTTGGACACGTTCTTATAGATCCTGTGGCGGATAGACATATCAATCTTTGCAGCTTGTCAAGGCGAAGTATGGCAGTTTTTTGCATTGTCTTCTGCCTCCACACTATGGATGCATAGAACATAACATAACATAAACATAAAAACTCTTCAAATAAGTTTTATGATAACCTTTAATAAATATCAACTTGACCCCATTGCATTTGCGCTTTTAAAGCTCGGTAAAAATCAATGACTATTAATATGTGCATTAAACCATTTTCCAGCTATTAAAAAAAAAAGAAAAGAATTTTCAATCCCCCATTGAATAGTTCCCTACTGCAGTATTTGACTTACTTCGTTTGCTTAAAAGCTGGAGCTAAGCAGCTTAACTGCCCGCTTAAGTACATTTACATAACTCACTTCACTCAGAAATGTATGTGGCCTGAAAAATATTTTGAATGCAATGTACGATGTAAATACAAATCTACATACTGCCATACACACATCACGAGTTTGCTGGATGAAAGTCATAACTTAAAGAATCAAAAATACCAGAAAATAGCTTACAATTTTTAATTAGGTGAGCTTGGACTAAATTGAATAAAAAATTAAAATTATATTTAAATAATTAAAAAATATATACCAAAGGATAAAACAATTAGCTGTCTCCTTATTTTGGCCAAAGTGCTGGTGCTATATCTTAACCTATGTAGTCTCTTAAAGTACCTGCGGCATGTTTAGTGAATGTGGTGCTGGGAAATAGTTTTCAAAGTTAAGTAATACAAAATACGTAGTTCTTAATATTTTGCACTAAATGTATATATAAAAAAATACTAGCAATACTTAAATTTTAATTTTTTATTAATTATTATTAAAAAATATTTTGAAGTCCAAAACTTAATAAAATTAAGAAATTTCCATAATTGTGCATATACTTATGGCACGTAGGATCGAGACTTCTTAAGATATTAATAAAAAAAAAATCAACAGAAAAGAATATTTTTCTATAACAAAAGACTTTTATTTTAAAATCGTAATTTTTCTAATTACATTTTCACGATAATTTTTAACCTTTATATTATGATCTTTACTTTTTCGGGTAAAAGTAATCGTTATTCTATGATTTTTATTTTCTGGACTATGTTTAATCGTTGTTNATTTCTCGATTATTTGTATTTTTTCCATCATATTATAACGGTTATTTTCAGATTTCACAGGTTAGATCAAAAAATAGTTAAAACGGTTAAAAAATTGTCGAAAAAAATAAAAGTCCACAATGTCGTTGTTTCTGATCGAAAAATATAAAAACACAAAATTAGAAATGATCGAAAAAATAACAATCATATAATAACAATTCAAATATTTTTGCTACTATGGTTAAAGTCCCTGAAAAATTTAAAATACACCTTGCACTCGCTACAGGTTTTTTTTCAACTAGTCTACACCAAAAAATTACTGCTGCAAAAAGAGTTTTCTAAACTATTTTTGGGTCGCTGAACACTAAAATTATGTATATGTATATCAGCTGATAACTCATTTCTATGTAAAAATTTTAGCCAACAACTTAAATATCTATGTGAACCTTTTTTACTGTCAATTTTCATATTTAAAAAAATTAAATAAATTTTAGTATAAATAAATTTCAATACTCGTACTTTAGTACTGTTTTCAAAGTTTTTTATTTTAAGATCATTTCCAACTGCTTTCTTGACTATTTCGGTCAAAAATAATGGCAAAACTTTGAATTTTTGTTATTTTGGTCAAATTTGTTCGTTATTTTGTAATTTTAATTTTTTCGATCATCGATAACCTTTATTTCTGATTTTAACAATGATTTTAACATTTCCGATAATTTTAAAACTTCATAATAAAGACTGCATTCTCATTACCGCTATATTTGAAAATAGCGATTATAGTAGCATGATGTAGAAAAATAAAATGCTAAACTAATTTTTATTCTTGACCGCAAAAGTAAACATTACAAAGTAACGACCTAATTTGACTTAAAAAGAACAACATTCTAGTTTGATCGGAAAAATACAAACTCAATTTTAGCGGTTAAATTCAGACTTTCTTCATGAAGGACATATTCATTACAGTCCCTGCTTTTTAAAAGATTTTATAATATTAATATGGCAGTTGTGTAAATTCATCAATCTTTCGAAAGACTAATTGAATGACTTATCTGATCCGCTAGCGATGCTAGCTTTATTCTTTTTGTGCTTTTGCAATGAGTTTTCTAAAAATAAATTTTCAAAATATATTAAAAAATATATTTTTCTTTTTAAAACAATAAAACCCAAAAGTTTTAAGAAAACTTTATTTACAAAATATTAATATAAAATGTAAAAACAAATAAAATAAGTTTCTAGAAATAACAAAAAAAAATATTTTTTTTTTTAAACGATAAAATCTAAAAATCAGTAGAAAATTACATAAAAAATGATGCACTAATTAAAAATTAAATAAAATTAACAAGTACAATTTTTTTCTTTTGAAAGCAATACAATCTAAAAATTTAAAAAAAGGAAGAAAAAACAAAATGGAAAGTAGAGAAAAAACTAAATAACTTGTTAATAATTAAATGATATTAAAAAAGAAATCTTTTTAAAATAACAAAATGATGAATAATGAATTAAAATAAGTTAATAGTAAAAAAAAAATAATATTTTGAAAGCAGCTTTCTGAACGAATTCGAACTGTACATACTGGTTTACCAAATATATCGACTCGTGCGCCACCTATCGGATTAACTCATCTTTCGTTTTGCATTGTCATCGGGTTCTGAGCCAACTGTGAAGTTCCAACTCTCTAGGTCATCGGGCAGTTTGCCAAAAATTGATTTCAAGAACAACAAATACACTTACATACATACATACAGAGCAAAATAAATAAAGCGCATAATAAAGATAGAACAAGGCCCTACAAAATAAATAAAATAAAACTTTTTTCTTTTTAAAACCAAAATACAAAAATCTTAGAGCCGGTTTCACCAGCAATTTAAGTAGAAAACTGATTTTTTATTTTCTAATTTCCATATAAAATTGAAAAAATTAAAATCATTTTTTGAATTGCTTTCGGGAAATTGGCTGTAAGAATCAAATGATATTTAAAAAAAAATTGTTTAAAACAAAAACTAAAAAAAAAGAATGAAACAAGTTTCTACAAATTCAATGAAATCAAAACAACGGATATATTATTTTAAACTATAACATCTAAGATTTTATCAGAAGTAGAAAACGAAAAAATGGAAGATAAAGAAAATTTAATCTAAAAAATTAATTAGAAAAAGAAAAAAATTAAGTAAATTTCTTAAGATGAAATGGAACTAAAAATATGTTTATTTTATGTTTATTATTTAATTAAATGTATGCTCGTGGAACATATTCTGTCGAAAGAGCTGAAAGTAGGCAATGGCGCTCTTTTCGCAAGTCTTTCAATGGTCTTCCAAAACGACTTGTAACTATCTTAGCCAGAATTGTCCTGTAGGAATATAAAAATTAAAACTGAAATATTTTTTAAAAATGTTTTAAAAATTTTTTTGTGACACTTTTCAGAAATTTTAAGAATCAAAAACTTTAAGGGCCATTTTCTCAATTAGCTTTTAAAATTTATTTCCCCTTCAAACACATTCTTTATCTGACCTTAAAAAACATTTTTTTTTAAATAAAAATTTTAATTCAATTTTGTTCTCAAATAATGTGTGATAGAGAGCAAATACATTTTATATAATAGATTTAATTATTTTCGCAGAAAATATACTTTATGTTTTACAGGATCTCACATTGAGAAAACGGCCTAATCGGAGAGGGAATCGAAATTTTTCAGTTTCTTTCATATCCGTTTTCATTTTTTGCAGTTCTGTCGTATGCCACTTCTATCCGCCGTCCCTAATTTATACGAGCGTATGATTTTCCATTTGCGCCTGAATGTGTTTCCCTTTAGTAATTTCCCTCGTAATTTTTAATCCACTTTGTATATTTTATATTTATGTGTATATAAATACTTCAATTTAATGTTTTTAATGTGTACTTTTCCAATTTTCTTTTCTCCCTCTCTTTATTGTTTTTACTTTCATGTTTTTTTTTTTTTTTGTAAATTTGATTGCGTGGCTTGGGCGCTGAAACAACACCGTACGCACCTACTTAACCAATTCGGTTTTATCACAATTTATTGCATATGCATGTATGTATATTTGTGCCACTACAACAACAACTACGATGACGATGACTGCTTGCTATACGCTTTGGATATTTGTGTTTACATGTGTGCGGCTAAAAATCGGCTTGCGGCGTTGAAATGTGAAAAACTTGCAACAAAAAAATCGTAAACATTCAATGCTTTCAACAATGAAAATAAAACCGAAATCAACAACAAATGGCGCTTTTCACAACAACAAAAATGCAACAATAACGAACGCTATGAAAATGGAAAACGACGAAATATTGAAAAAAACCATGTACAATTGCAATGCTATCGAAAACAATACACACAATGAAATGGAATAAAAATGGCAATGTTGGGGAAAAAATATCACAACTGCTACTAAATGCCACCAACAATCCACTTACCTCACTGACAATATTTTCGCATTTGTTTTCGTTTTCGCTTTTTATGATTTTTATACTTTAATCTTTCATTTTTCATTTCTCATTGTTTGTGTTCTTGTATTCCCTCCCTCCCGCGCTCTACCCGTTAACTGTCATTCACTAACCACAACTGCTGTTCTCCATTGTGCCATTTCCATTCGATGCGTTTTACTTTAATATTTGCTTTCATAATCCATGCACTGTTTTCCCCATTCTGCTGCTGACTTCACTCGCCTTGACTTTTCGCTACACAAATACGCCAACTGCTATTGAAATCTGCTTGGTTGGCAAATCCTTTAACCTCGTTGCGCGCTCTGCCCTCGCTCCTGTTTCACAAAAAAAAAAACGCACACAGCTACCCACAGTGACATCTGCCATCACGCATGCGGGCTCCACCGCCCAACCAGCGCCGCGTGAGGGCATTGTCAACGATGCGAATGCGGACGCGCACACCCAATGCAACGAAATAAATCCAACAATTTATGAAGAGCTCAAACTTGGCCAAGAAGGTGCTGGATTCAAGAAACTTGTGCCATAAATGCCAAAATGTGCAATAAAACTCAAGCACGCACAAACAAGCAAACAAACACACACACACACACACAGAGAGACACACACTTGTGGAAAAAACCGAGTACACGCACAGTCAACATAAAATAAACAAAGCGACAGAAGCCACAGAGTTACAAACAAATAAAAAATTGTCTCTCAGCTAACGGTGCAAGCAACAGTTTGCTACCGCATAGTTACATACATACAAACAAACGGAATATCAAAGCTAACAAAAAACATGCACACGCACATATACACCCATACACTTCCACACACACTCGTAGTTAGCAGCTGTTGGTATTTGTATTTGTAAAATGTATTGCGTTGTAATCTGTGCATTTGACGCTAGCTCGCTCATCTAGGCGTATACGTAACTTTTAACATGTAGAACAATGAATAAATTCACTAAAAGAAAAAAAACCAAACAAATATGCAGTGAAAAAGCATTAAATGCTACTCAACCATAAATTGTGAGATATGAAACATAGTAGTTTTAACTTAAAATATATTATAACTAAAATAGTAAAAAATTCTTTAAAAAATTCATGTATGTAGCTTAGCTTAAAAACAGGAAAACTAAGAAAATAACCAAACAGAAAAGTACTATATGTATTAATAAAAATCTACTTATAAATAAATAAGCAACGTCCACAAATCGGTTTATCTCTTTAGTTTAAGTAGCAAGTACATATCGTTGCTATTGTACACGATAAGAAGCACCTAAACACACACACATACACAGCAACACACAATAGCAACAAATGTATGCTTGAATGTAAGCTTTTTAGCTTCGTTTGTATAAAAATGTAATTTTATTGTTTATGAATTGTATATGAATGTATTTGCTTTAATGTATTATTATGTATTATAAATTTTTAGCTGCTAAATTTACATTAAAAACTAAACCAAAAAAAAAACTTAAATATTCTTGTAGTTTGCTTCCAACCAAGCTTGGAGTATTTACGAGATCAAGACGGTCTTTTTGACGTTCAATAGAGAACACTCCGAAGCATATTCCTTGCCCTCTAACTTGTCTCACAGCAAACGTCGGAATTATAGTTTTCTTACGCTGTGTATAAATAAAATTTCCTTTCGTGAGAGATTTAAGTAAGCACTTGGAGTGCCAGTTATTGTCGAAATTCGACCTTTTTTCTAGTTTTTTTTTTTGGAGCCCTGTTCATATTTTTAAACATAGCACGTCGATCAAGTTATTAGGCACAAAATTACTCAAAGGAAAATCTCCTGCTTTGGCACTAAACCGTGACTAAAAATTCGTATTTATTTTTTTATTTTAATAGCGTTAAAGTTTAACAGGGCAAAACTTTCTCCATAATCAATGTTTTTACGAAAACTTTTTGGTCGTCAAACAAATTACCTTGGTCTGAAGTATCTGAAATTTAGAGCACCAATCAGTCAAATGAGAGCCGGCGAGAAAATACAGGTCTCCTAAAAAGCGGGAATAATTTGAAACTATATACGTTGAAAAATGGACAAATGAATGCGATGGATTAAATTTTATCACAATTTTCAATTAGGATGACACGGGAACCATAGGGCACTATATATCTTGATAATTCTCGATAAGTCGACAAAGTTTAAAAATTTTATGAATTTAAATAACTTAGATACATTTCAATTAGTCGTCAAATTCAGACAATTCGATACGTATTGATAGCTAAGTAAATGAATTTCAAAAACAGTAAATTCCGATAACTCCATAAGATTCGATAACTCTACAAATTTCGGTAACTATCGATAAAATTGGGTAACTGCGCGTTTCCAGAACTGGAAAAATTTCGATAGCTAAAAATTGCACATATCTCGATATATAGATCGGTAGCTCGATTTTGATAGCTTCATAAATTTCCATGTCTGTCGACGAAATTCACGGGTGACTCGATAAAATCCGGTAAATCGATAAATAGTGATAACACGATAAATTCATGTAACTCTAGAAAATTTTGATAACCGGATATATTTTGAAAATTCCAAAAACCTCGATTTCATAAACCGACAAATTTCGATAACTAGAAAAAAACCGATAAATCAATATATATGGATAACTTGATAGTTGAAAAAACTCGATATTTCACAACTCGATAAATTTCATTAACTCCATAACCCTGTATTGATTATTGAATATATGTCTTATAAAAAAAAATTGCATTAACTCAATAAATTTTTATAATCCGATAAACTTTTAGGGCTCGATAATTATCTGTACATTTCGACTATTAAGTTTATGCGCCTCGATAAATTTCGATAACTTAATAGACATTGAGCAATTTCAATAACTCGATACGTTCCGATAATAAAAATGGATGATCCGTTACATCTCGATAACTATAAACTTGGATATACATATTTTGATTCTTATCGAAAAAATTTTAATGAATTTTCTTACACTGTCAGTTTCCCTGATTCTTATTTTATGTATGTTGATTGTTTGAATTATCTTTATTTCATGGTTGCTTTTCAAATGCGAAGTAAAACAGCATGCGAAAACAACTGAAATTTAACAGGTTGAAATTTTCATCCAATTTTGGAACCATAAAAACCCTCCTCATCTACAGAAATATATGGGTATTTTCTTTACTTAGAAAATGTATTCAAGCAAAGCCTACAAACTTTAGCTGGCGTAATACTGCAAAGATATTTTATCACTAAAATTAACCATCTCAGTACAAAAAATCAGCCATTGAAGCTAAAGATCTGAAAATTTGTTTACCGGCTAATGTTGGGTCATTGATTTCAAAAATACAATCAAAAATTTTATACAACTCTTAGTTTAACCGTTATTCAGCGTCCATTATATTGGATATCAATATTTTTTCTTTTTTTTTTCTTTTGCGAAATATATTTCCAAACTGAGAGTAAGATTTAACATTTATTTCATATATGTTACACTACTAAATATAGATTTTTGTGCCACTTTTTGCTTTTGTGAGAAATCACAGTCAACTGCATCCCAAAAATACAGTAAAAGAAATGCGGTAAATAAGAGTAATATACTTTTCTCAAAACAACTGTTATTTTATAAACAAAAGCTCTTATCTAAGAAAAGAAGGGCTTTAAGTACAAAAAAAGTTTGTCCAATATATTGAACAATTGTACTGAAAGGGTTAAGCTTTTTAGAATAACTTGAGATCACTGAACTAAATAGAATATTAGGCCATTTATATCACTGTGCAACAATCTCAAGTTTATTGTCTCGGGACGGAATATTTTCAACTGAGGATGAAAGACCTAGTCCAATTCAATAAAAACTCCAGTCTTTTTGCAATCTCAGGTCAAATTTCTTTTTTTATGATCGTATTAGATCTGCAATGTTTCGCCTGAGTATTTTTAGAACATGAGGAAAAAAGCGGGCTAAAATTAATATCGGATCGAAATGTATAGTTTGGGTATAGATACCAAAATCTCACGAGGAATAATTTTCTAGAATATTTTCACCCATTAGTTCTCTCAAGAAACGGTCCTTTTGATACCCTTTTTTGAGAGTTTGAATAAAATAGCATTTAGGAAATCGCTAAAAAGTTAACTAGGGGATTTTCAGACCAAATCTTTATAGAAAGAACGTTAAAGTCCAGCCCTGGCATCCCATGATGCCTACAATGCATTAAATTATGCAGCAACACATGTACATAAAAAAAATATTTCTCCTTTTTTGTGAAGTTAAGTTTTGTAATTTTTTTCATTTGTTCTTTTACCAAAAATCATAAATAACAAATGAAAATGTGCAATAATTTATTGTTTGAAATACGAGCAGGAAATAATGTTACTCATACGCCATATCTGAAACGGCCGTACTCTTACGTACTCGGACATGGCGTATGAGTAAAGTTAGATTTTTTTCATTCTCAATGCAAACTCAAAATGACATCTTGGCAAAATGACCTGATCTAGAAAAACGGTATACAGATCTGTAATCTATGACCCCAAAATTAAGTTTACGTGTCTCGAGGTATTTTAGTGTTATTTTGTCATCTCTACAGTGTTATTAATGGGTGAATCCTTTTTCTTAAAATTTTACCCGAGTTTAGCGTTCTTTTGGTGCTCGATGAAAAAAAACGAGGCCCATATCTCAAAAAGGTGATTACAAAATAAAAAAAGGCAGAAAAAGTTCTCGTACATAATTATTTTACTTTTCGACTTGCACGTTATTATACTAAAATTGAATGAGCCAAAAAACTGCATACCCAAATTTTTCTAGAGAATGTAATTAAAAACTCTAATATTTTTATGAAAATTTGCAGAATTTGTTTTAATTAGGCACAAGGTTTGGAGGTCGGCTTTTTGGCGTCTTGGTCGTAGAATTTACCAAATTTTTATAAAAGATTTGCGAAAAATAAAATAATTAAATAACAGTGTCCCGTACTGCAGAAAAGTCGCCCTACCTAAGCTTTATTGATTGACAGTAAATACATTTTTTTTTTTGATAAACTTGACATAATAATGCCCTAAAATGATAACAGAGCTTGCTATTTAAGCAGTCAGTGAATTAAAAATATATTTATATCACTAGTAAAATATTCAAGTCAGTTAAAAATTTAATGATTTTCTTAGCGTTTAGTGTAAAAATTTCCCTTACTTTTTCTGCGCTTGTGTCTAGTACTAGGAATTTTTATGATACATTTTCCTAAAGCATACATAACAATCATAAGAAGATTATCTTTTCTTAGCCGGTGGAACACTTAAAATACCTAAAATAAATGTCCTTCCTAAGGCATATTTACTTAAGAGAAATTCGTTATCAATTGCCTGTACATAAGAGTACATACATATTGTGTTTCCACACGAGACTGCCAAAATTCTGTCTATGCGACTGTGCAAATTCTTTGAATTGCATTTTAATGCCAACTAATGCTGCTAGTTGCAGTGACGTGAGCACACTGTGCGTTTAAAAGAGGCCGAAAGGTAAAGGCATCATGCTGGTTGGAAGACAGCCAAACGACGGAAAATAAACGGCAGAGATCGCTGTAGACAAAACCATCAAAGACAGTAATGCTTAGCAACGTAAACAAGCAGTTAAATGTTGCATACAGATAAGAGTTAAGCGGGCGTAGGGCAAGTGGTGTCGGAGAAGATCGGTGATAGGATTAGAGGATTAGAAGAGTCTTTAGTGCTCTATGGTAGTGTTAC